TCTGCCTGCCTCTGCCTCCTGAGTGCTGGGAATAAAGGTGTGCACCACCACAGCCGGCTACAGTATCTTATTTTTTGGCCACATGTGACTGCAGGTTAGATATGCCTGAAAGGTGGTCCCCAGACCAGCACCAGTCTCATGGAGGAATTTGTTAGTAAAGCAAATTCTTGCCAGGCATGGTGGCTCAAGCCTGTAATCTCAGGATTTAGGAGGCTGAGACAAGAGCATTGCTATTAGTTGGAGGCCCAATCTGGGCTACAGTAAAATAATTTAAAAAAGCAAATTTCACCCAGGTGTGGTGGCGCATACCTTTGATCCCAGCACTTGAGAGGCAGAGGCAGGCAGATTTATGTGAGTTCAGGGCCAGCCTGGTCTACATAGTGAGTTCTAGGACAGCTGGGGCTACAGGGAGACCCTGCTTCAAAAAGACCAAAAAAAAAAGCAAATTCCAGAGTCAGGTGTCCTGATACCTGTAAAAAAAAATAAAGAAAAGAAAGAGAAAAAAAGAAAGAAAGAAGACAGAGAAAGAAAAGCTGGGTGTGATGGAGCACACCTTTAATCCCAGCACTCAGGAGGCAGAGGCAGGCGGATCTTTGTGAGACATGCCAACCAGATCTAGATAGCAAGTTCCAGGCCAGCTGGGGCTATAAGGAAACCCCGTCTCAAAAACATTAAAAAAAGGAGAAAATTCCCAGCCCTCACTGCACAACTGCTAAAGCAGACACTCGGGGCTGGGGCCTAGCAGTCTGTTTTAACAAATCCTTCAGGTGATTTATGTTCCCTTAAGTCTAAAAACAAGTGATATGGAAGATGAGAGCAAAGGGCTTTAAGTCAGGAAGACCTGAGGGTAGGCTACTTGACACATACAATTGCTCTGTGCCTCAGTTACTTCTATACAATGGAAACAAAGTACCTGTCTTCTAACCATGTGTTTTAGATGGCTTGCTGTGTGTCAAGCACTTGGTCAGTTGTCTGGCAATAACAGCCATCACATTATAGCCAGGCTGTCTACCATAACGAGGCTGCTGTCTTCCTTCAGCATCTCAGCACAGTTCCTCCAACTCAACACTTGAGAAATCTGAGCTACCAACTCCTTCTGCCTTATCACCTTCACATGTGTTAGTCTCTCTGCCCAGACCACTTTCCCAGCTCCTTCGCACCTTCTTCCATCTGCCTCCATGAAGCCTTCCATTGCTCCCCAAACTAGGCTTGGGGTGGGGTGGCAAGTCTTCTTGCTCCCACGGCCCCTGAGCCTCCACACATCCGTACCTATGCACTGGTCTCTCCCGTTGTACCTGAGGCCTTAAATAACCATTCATTTGTAAACTCGATCCTGGCACAAAGCAGAAACTCAAAAATAAGAAAAACTGGGGCTGGAGAGATGGCTCAGGGGTTAAGAGCACTTGCTGTTTTCCCGGAGTACCCAGGATCAATTCCCAGCTCTATTGCTCTCTTCTAGCCTTTGAGGGCACCACACACATACCAGTATACATATCGGCAATCAAAACACTTGTACAAATAAAAATAAACTAATGAGGGGTTAGCGAGTTGGCTCAGCAGTTAAGAGCACTGGCTGCTTTTGCAGAAGACGCAAGTTCCTTTCCTAGCACCCACATGGTGGCTAACAACCATCTGTAACTCCACTTCCAGGGGAATCCAATGCCCTCTTCTGATCTCCTCGGGCATTGCACGACATGGGTACATTTACATACATGCAGAAAATACAGTCATACACATAAAATACAAATGACAAATATTTTTAAAAGATAAATTAACCATTAAAAAAAGACTGTTACACAGTTGAGAAAATGGACATAGATGGAGATTTAGCATCCTGTCCCAGACCAGACTCTTTCACTGGGGAATGTGTGTGTGGTCATTAGCTTTTCCTCCTACCTTATATGACATCAAGAACAGTGGGCCAAGGGTTCATGAACCTGTTGCTCACTAGCCATTGTTACTTGAGCAACTTCCTGTGTTGAATATGTTGGGCTGCCTTCCACCGGTCCAGGAGACCCCAACATTGAGTTACACATGTGTAGCCATGCTGTAATTGTCTCATTTTATCCACTTCATAGACAGAGAAACAGACCTGTGGTCACAGAGCTGGTGAGTGGAAGCGATGGCCTGAGCCTCAGTCAGTGTGTTCACTATAGTTCTACTGGGCTGCTTAGGTCGAGTCAGCCCCCTGCAGGCTCCAGCTGCCCCTCTGAAAGGGGTGTCTTCATTGGACTCTCCACTGCACCCGCAGAAGGCTTCCATTTCCCTAGCCTGTCTGTATTTGTGTCTCCTGCTGTCTGGGTTCAGTAGGTCTGGGGAGTCATCCTCACTCAGATGAGAACCCCAGGATGGGGCTGTCACCTGCTTCATTCAGTCTACCAGGCTCTGCTTTCTGCCAACCTCAGGCTGGAACAAGGGAAAAATGACACCAGGGCTAGCCCTGTTCCAAGACTGAGCAAATCACTTCAAGGTTTCAAGCTTCAGTTTCTGCTTCTGATAAATGGGTTTAATAATAGCCCACGGGGCCCTGGGGCGCCCGGAAGATGAAGGCGATAAAGTGGTCATGGGCCTTTGAGAACTCTTGTTTATTACCCCACCTGGCCATTACCACTTTGGCCCTGGTGCTTGGGCTTACAGGGATATGTGAGGACCCTCTCCTGGGTTTTGGGTCTTCTGGAATCGCCCATCTGCCCAGCACTGTACCTATAGTATGCTGGGTACACTGGTACACCACAGACGCTCTATAAATACCTGTTGACTGAATAATACACTGGGCGGCTCTCTCTCTCTCTCTCTCCTTTCTGACCAGGGGACACCACACTAACTCCCAGAAGCCCACCTCTGCTCCGACTCCACCCACCTCTCAGCCAAGCTGCCACCTTCTCGGGAGTCCAGGCCTCCACCGGCTCCATATCCAACAGCGTCGCTCCAGCTCAGGAATTTCCGTTCCCAGGGCCCAGGCGGCTGGCAGGGCTGGGCCCGGGCGGGGCAGCCGCCTACCTGGGTCCACGTGGCCAGCAAGGTGAGGCCCTGCGACAGCCATTGGCCCACCGCCCGGCTCCCTCCTGCCCCACCCCTCGGCATCCCAGGACTTTGGCAGGTTAGGCAGCCAGGCCACCCGGGTGACGCCACAGGGGCGTGCCTCCCGGGCTGCCTGGGATCTCGCTACAACTGGCCTCAAATCCTGTGGGGCCCTGACCCTTGACCTCCGGCTCCCCCAAAAAAGGCCACAAGGAGAGCAGTTGGTGGCCAGCCCGCTAGGTGTAGGCCATAGCTCTTGTCCCGCCCCCCCTGGAGCTGACCTAACTAACCCGTTCAGTTCTAGGTGTGCAAAATGGACAGCCTCTGCTTCAGGGTGCACTTGGGAGTGTCTGAGCAAATAGCTTTAAATTTTTAGAACAGCAGGTCATGGTGACTCAGGCTTATAATCTGAGAACTAGGGAGGATGAGGCAGGAGGGTTGTTGCCAGTTCAAGGCCCACCTGGGCTACAGAGGCGTGTCCCAAGAAACAAAAACAAAACAATAAAAACCAAATAAAGCACTTAGAGCTGGTCTGGGCTTGGTGGCGCATGCCTTTAGACCCAGCACTTGGGAAGCAAAGGCAGGCAGATCTTTGTGAGTTTGAGGCCAGCCTGGTCTACATAGTGAGTTCCAAGACAGCTACAGCTACAGGGAGACCCTGTCTCTAAAAGATGAAAAAATAAAATAAAATAAAATAAAGCTTAGAGCTGAGACTTAGCCACCTCTTTTATTTTGCACTGTCTGGTGAGGCGTGAAGATCCTTTCTTGAAGACTTTTTTTTAAAATTTTTATTATTTTTATTTTATGTGTATGCATGTATTGCCTGCATGTAAGTAAGTGCACCCGTGTTGTGCAATGCCCACGGAGGTCAAAGGCTGTTGGATCCCCTGGACTGGAGCTACAGACAGTTGTTAGCTGCCATGTGGGTACTTGGATTCGAACCCGGGTCGTCTGCAAGAACAACCAGTGTTCTTAACTGCTGAGCCATCTCTGTAGCCCGAACAAAGTAAGACTTTTATGAATTTATTATTTATAAACAAACATCCTTTATTGGCTACAACAGTAAATGAAGAGACAAAAACACATTGACCATCTGCAGGCAGCTAACTGCCTTCTGAAAGCACTGTCTGCTTCAGATGATTTCTGATCTTGCTGTTGCTCAGGTGGTCTCCAGCTCATGATCTATTGATTCTTCAGCTTCCAAAAAGGCAGGGACCACAGTTGGCATCAGAGTGCCAGCCAGAACAACATTCTTAAAACCATAAAACAGGCTGGAGAGATGGCTCCTGCTCATACCGGTTAACTCACTTGTGCCACTACAGCAGAGGACCTGAATTTAGTTCCCAGCATCCATGTTGAGCAGCTCACAACCCCAGTAAGTGCAGCTCCAGGGGCATCCAATACCCTCTTTTGGCCTTCATGGGCACATGCCCTCACATGCACAGACACAGATAAATAACACATAGTTTTTGTTTTGTTTTTAGTCTTTTTGAGACAGGGTCTCCCAGTAGCCACAGCTGGCCTCGATTTGCTATGGAGAGCAGTCTGGCTTTGAACTCGGAGCTCTGCCTGCCTCTGCCTCCCGAGTGCCGTTTTTGTTTGTTTTTGTCTTTTTGAGACAGGGTCTCCCTGTAGCCCCAGCTGTCCTGGAACTCACTATGTAGACCAGGCTGGCCTGGAACTCACAGAAATTCACCTGTCTCTGCCTCCAGAGTGCTCATATTAAAGGTGTGTGCCACACCTTTAAAATAAGACACAAATAAAACACAGATGCTCATTAAGTTGAGCATAGGAGCTGGCCATGGTGGCACACCCACAAGCTAGCTAAAAAACAGTCTAGCCAGGCATGGTGTCACTTAGGAGGCAGAGGCAGGCAGATCTCTGTGAGTTCTAGGCCAGCTGGGGCTACAGGGAGACCCTGTCTCAAAAAAAAAAAAAAAAAAAATTAAAATCATTGGAAATTTAAAGCCAAATTTTCCCTTTTAGTGGTATGGGGCATGTTCAGCTTGGATAAAAACATAAAGCTCGGCTGGTGAGATGGCTTACGCAGTAAAGGCATCTGTCACCAAACCTGATGACCTGACTTCAATCTCTGGGACCCTCATAGAGGAAGGAGAGATGTGACTCCTGCATGTTATCCTCTGAAACCTGCCCCCCGCCAATAAAAATGTAATAGTAATTTTTTGTTGTTGTCAAAAATGGAACATTTGCCAGGCGTGGTGGTACAAGCCTTTAATCCCAGCAGTTGGGAAGCAGAAACAGGTGAATCTGAACTGCATAGAGGCTACATAGAGACCCTGTCTCAAACAAAAGAAAGAAAAAAAGACAGAACACTAAACTGGAGGGATGAGTGATAAAACTTACCACCTATCATTTATGTAGAGACAGGGTCTCCCTATGCAGCTTTGGCTGTCCTGGAACTCCCTAGATAGACTAGGCTGGCCCTCAAACTCACTATTTAGAAAAGGCTGACCTCAAACTCATAGAGATCTACCTGCCTTCGCCTCCAGAGTCCTAGAACTGAAGGTGTGTGCCACCACAAATGGCTCATCATTTTTGTGGTGCTGGGGATTGATCTCTGAATCTCATACGCTAGGCCTACACTCCAACACCCAAACACTTCCCAGCCTTCCTCTCACAGACTGATTAGCAAAGCAAACAAAGATAGGAAATACACAGCATGACTGAAGTCTGGGTCACCAGAGTGAGAACAGGCAGAGGTCATCATGTGGTCACCCAGTCTCTTAGGTACAAAGCTATCTAAACAGTGGCTGCTACTATCAGAGGAGGGTCTAAAACAAAGTATGTCACTGGCTGTAGTTTAGCAGTGGGTTAAGGACTACCATGATTTTGGGGGCTGGAGAGATGACTCAGTGGTTAAGAGCACTTGCTGCTCTTGTAGAGGACCCAGGTCCAGTTCCCAGCACCCCATATGGCAGCTTACAACCATCTGACCTCTGTGGGCATTGCACATTGTAGTGCACTTACATACATGCAGGCGTTAACACTTATATACATAAGCAAGTGACAGACCAGGCCAGCTGGGGATTCAGGGAGACCCTGTCTCAAAAGAAAAAAAAGAGAAAGGAACATATTATGAACAGCTTAATTGGCATATGCAAAACTCCTTTAATTTTATGATCATCTCCAAGCTGAAGGTAGGTAAGTCTTTGCAGGAACTCCTTGGGAGAAGTATGTCTACCCTCAAGACAAAGATGGTTGATCTTTTTGAGACAGGGTCTCCCTGTAGCCCCAGCTGGCCTGGAACTTGCTATATAGACCAGGCTGGCCTTGAACTCAAAGAGACATGCCTGCCTCTGCCTCCCAAGGGCTGGGATTAGTGCTGGGATTCAAGGCATACACCACCACACCTAGCAGAGGTGGTTGATCTTTAGAGCCCAAATGGAAAGGTGTACTGCTGTTGAGAGGGAGGCTAGTTGCCCAGGTGTGGTGGCACAGGCCTTTGATCCCAGCACTCAGGAGGCAGAGGTAGGTGGATCTCTGCAAATTCAAGGCCAGTCTGGTCTATATAGGGAGTTCCAGCTGAGCCTACAGGGAGACAATCTCAAAAAGAGGGAGGGGGGCTAGCAAAGCCCCCTGGCTCCCTTTGCTGAATGCTGACATCTAACTACCCGAGGTAGGGGTATGGTCCAGACCCAGGCTGATGCCTGGATTCCTGAACAATTCTGGCTGAAGCTCCTCTTGCTTGCCTGGCCTGGCCTCTCTGGTGCATGGGGGAGGTGCTGCTACTGGGGCCTGATGCTGATCTCTCCTGGCAGCTGTTCCTAAGGCTGGCAGGGTGGTGGTGGTGGTGGGAACGACACCAGATTGAAAAATCCAGCTGTTCCACCCCCTACCAGACCTGGGCAGGCTAGCGTGGGTGAGCATCCTCTGAAGGGAGGGTGCTGCGGTGTGCAGGAGGTCAGGGACCCCTTTGCCCTGATTTTTACTTCTTGCTACCACAGACAATAGTTTTCATTTCTGCTCCCACTTACCAGGTCACCGGAGAGATCAGCGCCCCAACACTATGAGATTTCCACGCCTGACCCCTGGCTACTTCCGAGTGCTACAAGTAAGTACATTTAAATACTGATACTTAGCACCACTGGCCTCTTTCTCCCCTATCATGGGTAGGCAGACACCCCTAACAGGCCAGTCACGTTCCCTGCTGCCTGACTAGCCAGGGCCCAGATGGGCAGTGAAATGAGAGGAATTGGGGTGGAATCTCCCTGGGGCAGAAATGGTGTCCCTATCACCTTTACTTAGCTGTACCATTTTATCCTCTTCCTGCCTAGAAGTCTCAACAGATCCTTCAGGTTCACCCTCTGTGTACTCTCAGATGCAGGTGGCCGGGAGCTGAAGGCAGAGCCCTGCAGTCCGCTGGTTGGGATTGTGGCTACATTGTTTGCTATCTTCGGGCTGGGTGGCTCTTGCTTTACTGTATGGAAGATGGTGAACCAGCAGCAGCCACCACAGGCCCCATGATGAAGCAGATAGTCTCTCGACTGGGCTCTGGAGGTAGGTGACTTAGGGAGGGGATTATCTTAGAAACCCACTTCTTCTGGAGAAGCACAGGCTAAACCTGATCCTACTCCCCCATTTCACACTGCACCCTTGTGGTTAGGGGGTCAGCTCAGATGCAAGGACCCTAAAGAAAGACAGGGGTGCAGGTTCCAAGCAGGGAATAGACAGCCTGGTCCAGAAACCCTTGCAGGGCTGGAGTCAGAGGTAAGCCCTCTTTGTCTGGTTCCTTTATTGGGGACAGGCTATCCAGGAGAGGTCAGGCCCCCAAACCCAGAGCCCAGAAGTACACTCTCCCAGCCTAGTCTTCAAACCACTGTCCATGGGAAGTTCTTCTACCCTGCAACCTCAGGCCGTGTCAGGTGGATGTGTCCATCTCAGGAACCTCGGTGGACACTTCTGTGGGCACTGCCAGCTGCTGAGGGGGCACATAGGAGCCCATACCCGCTGCTCGCTCAGCCTCTTCCTGACTGTAGGGTTCAACGCTCAGCTGCTTCAGCCTGAGAGAAAGAAGAGGGAGTTTGAAGCTGACCAGATGCAACACCTGCCTGCCTGGCCACCCCTGCACCAACCCTCTCCTTAGCCCTTCATACCTTTTCTTGTGGTCTTTGGACCGGAAGTGGGTCTTCAGATTGGCCGAATCGACGAAATACCTCCTGCAGGGATGTGGGGCGAGAATGAGGAGGTGATGCCTCTCAGGTATGCCTACCTCCCTGCCTCTGGCTTGTTCCTGATGACAGGATCTGAGCCTGAAGGGATGGGAGGCGGGCTGACCCCCGGGTCCCAAGACAGGAGACCGCGCACGGCCGGCAGCCCTGGATCTCACCGCTCCCGGCTGGCACCGCAGACCCCGTTCGACCCCTGGCTGGACTCACGCGCAGGCCAGACAGCGATGCAGGCCGCCCCCGGGCAGATCCGGGTCGGGCTCTGCGTCCAGCTCGGGCTTGGACCGCACTGGCCCCTGTGGCCGCAGCTCGCGGTGAATCTCATCCAGGTCCGGCAGCCGCCGCTTGGCCTTCATCTGGCGGGATAAGGAATGGGCTCGGTGCGCGCCAGTCCGGCGGGAGCGACCCATGGCCGGGGCCAGGGAAGGAGCCACACGTGCTGGGTTTCCGGGCAGCTCAACAACGTCATCGGACGCCCGCCCTGGGGCGGAGCAGGATTGGTCGGACCGCCTCTGATGACATCACTGGCAGGCCCTGCGGGTTGAGCGCTCCCAAGTGGCAGTGAATGGCAGTGACGGGGCTTGGGACTGGTGGAGGGATGCTTGCTGGGGGAGGTACCCGCTTGGGGAGCTTAGAGTGGGTCCTGATGCTCTGCCAGCCCCATCATCACTTCCTGTTTCCCACGCCTTGGACTCCATGGTGGAGGATACTTTCAGCATCTTTAGGAGGCACTGATGTTTGTGATATGAATAAATGTTACATGAATGAGAGTAAGTTTGGAATCACAGTTCCAATAGGGCTCCCTGAGATACCTCCAAGTTCTGACAAAGAGCTCCTTTCTCATATAGCTCCCCAGTTACTTCTTTGGGTCTCCTTCTCTGTCCTCTGTCTTTCCCCAGGCAAATCCTTGGGGTGGAGGCTGGAATATTCCTTTCCAACGAACCTAGCACTTAGGAGTTCTGTTGGTGAAAAGTGACCATCTCCTCTTGCAAAAAGTAGGGATTTATTTTTGTTTGCTTGGTCTTTTTGAAGGCATCCGATTCCTTGGCCTGGCACTCGCTAAGTAGACCAGGCTGGACTTGATCCCACAGAGATCTGCCTGCTTCTGCCTCACAAGTGCTGGGATCAAAGGCATGGGCCACCACACCCAGTGGCTTTTTTATTTTCTTTTTTTATGGTCTTTTTGAGACAGAGTCTCCCTGTAGCCCCAGCTGTCCTGGAACTCACTATGTAGACCAGGCTGACCTTGAACTCACAAGATCCACCTGCCCCTGCCTCCCAAGTGCTGGGATTAAAGGTGTGTGCCACCACGCCCGGCTTCATTTTTTGTTTTTATGATTTTTTTATAAAAATAAAAGAAAGATTTGTTTATTGGGGTTGGAGAGATGGCTCAGAGATTAAGCGCACTGACTGCTTTTCCAGAGGACCCGGATTCTGTTTCCAGCACCCACATGGTGGCTAGCAGACACTCTCATCTTACTTTCATGGGCATGGCAAGATGCAGGTGCACCTACCTACATGCAGACAATACATTCATACATATAAAATAAAATATTTAAAATATTTATTTGCATGAGGGGGGTATGTGCATGTGAGTGCAGTTCCCACTGGGGTCAGAAGAGGGCATTAGATTCCTTGGAACTGGAGTTACAGGCAGTTATGAGCCACCTGTTGTGGGTGCTAGGAACCGGACTTTGGTCCTCTGGAGAGCAAATGCTTTTAACCACTGAATCATCTCTCCAGCCCCTGTAGTTTGTTTTTGATTTTTGGTTTTAATTTTGTGGTGTTGGGACTGGAACCCAAGGCCTCATACATGCCAAGCAGACAGTCTACATCCCCAGGCCAAGAGGAGATGTTCATAGAAGAACTCCCATCTCTGCTTCTTTCTTTGAGACCAGGCTTCCAGGGGAAGACTGACAAGAAAGAGAAAGGGGGCTGGAGAGATGGCTCAGTGGTTAAGAGCACTGGCTGTTCTTGCAGAGGACCTGGGTTCGATTCCCAGCACCCACATGGTGCTAACAACTACAAATCTGACACCTTCTGGCCTTCATAGGCTCTGTACAACATGGGTGCTCTTACATACATACAAGCAAAAAGCTCATATATATAAAGTAAAAATAATAAATAAAAATGTAAAAAAAGAAAGAAAATAACCAAGGGGTGTGTGCTGAGAGTATGAAGAGGCCCAGAGAGTCTTTCTGCAGTCACCTGGGTTAGAACCATCTCTACTGTATGGAGGTAGAGGAACTCAGCAATAATTTAGGGTCCCAGCTCTTTGGAACCAGTTGCCAGGAAACAGGGAGACAGGCACGTGCATCCCTAGGGAGAGTAATATGTTTCTAGGCCAGACAAAGCAGTGAAATGTAAGCTCCAGTTGGTGCTGACTGGAGGCCAGGGGATCTTCCCACTCCAGCTCATGGAGGCTGAGTAGGAACTGAGGGTGGGACCCTGACAAGGACACAGCTGGTGTGGTTGCAGTCATAGAATGCACAAGTGTGGGTCCTGAACCAAGAACTTTGAATGGAAGATGATTTTTCAGCAGCTATTCTAAGAGATGAACAACCATGAATATTTCCAAGTCCAGGAAGGCGGCCTCTCTAGAGCACTGTCTTCATTATCTTGGCCAATATGGGTCAAGACGGGGTGGAGGTAGCAGAAGCCCGCCCCAACCTCGGAATTCTTTGGATCAGGTTCATCTGCTGGGCACCATGCCAGCTGGGGAGAATAGTGCATCTTTAATGAAGTCACTGGATCCCTGGGACAGGCTCTTGGCTCTTCGAAGTTCCTGGACCAGACCCACTGGTGCCCACTGAGCCTTGTGTGCCTGGGTGCCAGGTCCCTTTTCTCCTCCAACCATGAACCAAGCCTTCTGGAAAACCTACAAATCCAAAGTACTACAGACCCTGAGTGGGGAATCTGAGGAGGACCTGGCAGAGGAGGTGGGTACTATCCATGCTTTCTAGAACAGAGAGACAGCAAAAGTGAGAGGTACAAAGAAATAGGGTCAGAGAGAGAGAGAGAGAGAGAGAGAGAGAGAGAGAGAGAGAGAAAGTGAGAGAGAGAGAGCTAGATGACAAAGACTGCTCTAAGACCACTGGGTACCCACAGGAGTACGTTAAGCCTGGCATAGCTTTCTAATGGAAAAGCTAACCAGAAGTGGGATGGCTTGCCTGGAGGGAGATGAGCTCCTGTTTGGGGGAGGTTACGGGGGGTGGCACCTGTATTCTGTGGACTACTGTAGCAGCATTACATCAAAGCCATACTTACACCATGCTTTGTCCTGTCTTTAAAGAAAGTCAAAAAAGGGCTTTGAAACTGGGAGTAGTCCTATGTCTAGAGATTGTGATAAGTGGCAGTCACATAAATAGATGTGGCAGGGGCAGTAACTAGTCCTGTGGGTATGGGTGTGGGTGGATAAGCACTATGTCTAGACAGGTTGGTGTCCAAAGCTGACCTTCTGTTGGAAACATCTGTGGGAAATGTTAGGGCTGCTGTCTATATGGAACCCCCACCCTGGATTTGGTGAATTTTCAGATATATGCTTTGAGCAGGATTGCCCATATACATGAGTATATGCAGGTATTCCATTTGGTAGGTGTCTGGATGGGTAGAGAGGCTTTGTATGCTGTGGGTAGGTCTCTGTGTAGCTGTCTGTGGTTGAATAAGCAAACAGGTATGAATGGTCTAACTGCATGGGTGTCCTTGTGTGAGTGCCTCACAGCACATACATCTGTGTGTAGGGAACGAGCTGTCACCATATGGAAGCATGCTTATGTACAGGTGTGTGTCTACAGTAGTTAGCATACCATTGTCCAAGTTTTTGCGTTTATTTTGATGTGGGAGGGTATCTGCAGGAACTTACTATATAGGTATATGTATGTGACCAGTGGCATTATGTAGTTGTAAGTGTACATATAAGCATTCCCATGTGCCCTTGTGGAGGTGCAACATGTGGAGGTGGCTGTTTATGTCTGTGGGACTTGGGTGCCTAGCATTCACGTGCTACCTAGCAATGAAGCTTTGCTCATGCTCAGTGGGGGTCTTGTGTCCCAGAGGGAGAGCCCAGCATTAGTGGAGTCTGAGACAGCAGAACCCACCGAAGAGGCCTTCAACCCCATGTCTCAGCTAGCCCGCAGGGTGAGTTCTCCAGTATTTCACCCATCTCTGGGGAGCCTGACAGAGGCTGTGCTGGGACCATCCCTGACTCCTAGCCCTTCCCCCCCAGGTTCAGGGGGTCGGAGTGAAAGGCTGGCTGACAATGTCGTCTCTGTTTAACAAGGAAGACGAAGACAAGCTGCTGCCGCCGGAGCCCTGTGCTGACCAGTATGTGTGTGCTCTTGGGGGACAGTGCTGGAATGGTCCTGGGTCTTGCTTCTGCCATGTTGGCTCCCTCTGGTCTGTTTATCCAACTTCATGACCCTATAGAGCTGTGGAGGGACAGCCTCTGGCTGCTCCTTCTGCTCAGCAGGATTCAGCAGACCTGTCTAGGAGATGCTAGATCTGTTGAGACTGAACTAAGTGGAGGTGCTTATCCCTGTCCCTGGAGAGACTTGACTCCCTTGAACCCAGGACAGCAGAAAGAACCTTTAGATGCTTGCAACAAAGGGAAGTGTAGATGGAAAACCCTCCTCTTCCAAGGGAGCTTGTGATAACGTAGATCTCTCCTGATTTGGTCGGTGCAGACAGAGGCCTGGGGATCCCAGAGGACCCCAAGGCACACCAACCAGTTTAAAAAGCACTGTTTTAGAAGGTCTTTGATGCTGAGATCAGGCCCAGGGCCTCAGTCTCCCCCTTGTCTCCATCTCTTAAATATACTGCAGCTCTGCAGGTTTCCTCCAGCCCCACCACAGGGATCCATCCCATTCCTTTAGGCCCTACCTAACCCCTACCCATCACTCTTGCCCCAAGGGTCCCCCCCCCCCGCCCTCCCCACGCCCTCAAACGCCCTCTCCGTCGCGAGA